ATATATATATATATATCTAAAAGATATCTAAAAGATTATAAAGAGATTTTCAGACAATGCGTATTGTCTGAGTGATCTTTTAAATAATACGAATAATTTTCATGCTCACCTATCTTTCTTTTGCTAAAAAGCTGAATTTCCGAGATAAGATTTAATTATGTTGACAATTAAAGATTTAATTATGTTACAAGTATACTTACATGCTTATTATTCGCAGCAGACGAAATTTTAACAAGTACTGGTATACCTTTCGCGGGTTTGTAAAGGGCGAAAGGAGTTTGACCCTGAAGCAACGCTATTTCCATCGCTTTCGTATCGATTTTGTTTATCACGATGCTGTCCGTCAAATCCGACTTTCATGAAATAAAATGTCAAAACTTAATTACACAATCCGTAATTTAATAATCCGTTTTCATCGTAAATCAAATTTATATATACTAACCGAACCGAAATAATCTTTCTCTTTGCTCTCACTTGTTTGACGCCGATCGCCATTGTATAACTGAATGATCCTAACGTTCTTGCTGAAAATATATAATCACATATCGCGCATTGAGATATCTATAATTAAATCAATTGTATATCACATGAAATAATAATTAAATATATAAGCGCTTTGATTGTCCGTTTAGCCTCTGCGAGAAATAAACTAATTCAGAGAGATATCTCTTACAGGAGACTGACCTGTAAAATTACAATTTTGTTTTTAATTCGTCTATATTTAATCATTCCTTTTATATCTAACAAAGATATCAATTAATAATAGAGAGATCGATATTTTTTAATTAAATGAATTTGAAATTCTATTCGCATTCTATGGATATTCATTCGAGATGACGGACAAATTCCAATAATTTTTTTAGATCATTTATACGTTTATTACGCCAATGGTTATGCATTGTATATCGCTCTTCATGTCGCAGCCTCTTTCCACCTCTTTCTCACATACCTTTTCCCAGCATTTGGCTCGTTCACTGCGGACTGCGCGTTGTTCGTGCTTCGATACTTAATACCGTGCTTGTACTCCTCGTGCGAACGCAAGGCGAACCGTCGCGGGAACTCCTTTCCGCAGACTCCGCATGAATATTGCATTTTATCGACGTGTGCGTGCGCTTTTACCTTGTGACAGACCAAATTCGACATTTGATTGAAGCCTTTACCGCACAACTCGCACTTGTACGGCCGCTCATTCGTGTGCGTGAACACATGGTTTCGCAAATTGCCTGAAAAACGTTAATTGCTGGATTTTTCGATGGCCATATGTTTTGTGCACGTCAATTAATGTGAAAAATATATAATAAAATCACTGACATAAATAAATTTAAAGAAGAAAGAGCAAAAAGAAGACTTAACGGAATTTCATTCGAAAATTCTTTCCGACTGAATGCGAAAAAAATCTGCCGATATGAAATAATGGATCTTTTTTGCATTATTTATACTTGTACGTATTATACCTTTTTGATGGAATCCTTTACCGCACACGTGACACTTGTGCGGTTTATGTTCCGAGTGTGTTTTTCGATGAGAGATTAACGTAGATACTCTAATGTGAAATACATATTATTTTAAAACCAAATGCAAGTCAATACAGAAATCATTTTGTCATTTTTAAATGTAAAATTTAGAGTTACTAGAAATGATTTCCGACCTGTTAAATGTTTTCTTGCAAAATTCGCACACATAGGGCCTGGCATCGCTGTGTATAGCTTTATGTTGACTCAATGTTGACAACTGTCGGAAAGCCTTGCCGCAAGCCTCGCATTTAAAGTTTCTCTCGTCGGTATGAGTCGGCAAATGTCTCATCAGAGTGTACTGATGGCGAAACTCTTTCGAACCTGATTCGAATATCAAACTAAAAGTTTCTTATAACGAATACAAGTTGTCGGCCTTCGTCGACATTAAAAAGTAATTACTCACTGCACTGTGAAATCGAATGAGAAATCTAAATCATATTTTTCCTCGAAAAAAAAATATTTGTTCATTTTTATTTTTAATTCTATTTATTTTTTTTGTGTAATTTTTTCATTAATTATTGGCTAATGTGGGAATGTAAGAATTACAATTATTCGTATCAAATATTCTTTATTAATTAAATTTTTTAATATTTTTTTATTAATTAAATAAGTTCAGATATTACGATAAGAAGCGTTACGTACAAATACCGCATTCCCAGATCTTGAGTGTCTTTCCATCGCGTTTCAGATATTTTACAAAATGCAACCTGGATCGCGGATCATCCTTGTCGATAAGCCGAGTAGTCGGAGGCGAAGGTCTTTCGGCAACAGGATGTGAATATACAACCACATTCTTGTCCGGCGTGTTAACACTTTGCTCGAAAATCTAAAAGAGTTACTTAAATGAAAATATCAAAAAAATTTTTTTAATCTACAAATTGCAATAAAGAAGTACTACAAAGTTAAATCATGCAGTGAGAAAAAAATATTTAATGCTTATGATTATAATTGCATAAAATAATTATGATCAAAGGCTCCAATCTTTATTATTATTAAAATATTATGTTAGTAATAACTATTGTATTATTCTATATAAAATATATATATGCATAATTAGAACCAAAAATGTGAAATTCATACACACAAAAGCTTGATGCAATTTCAAGGATTGCATTATGCTGTGTAAAAATACAGTTTCCTAGAATACTCCCGTAATTATGCATTGCGATGTAGATAGGCAAATACCTGGAGCATAAAACTATAGAAATGAGCGTATGTAAATGACATTCTTCAAAGTAAGAAGAAAGGAAGCAAAGATAAACTAGATAAACGGAGCAACGTCCGTCAGGTAAAATATTTCATATAAACTGCTGCCATAATGATATGCACTCGCTCTTGGCAAACAACTTGCCGCACTAATAGTTCGACAAATATTTAAGATACCTTACTTTGGCACTTACTTTGTACCTTAACGCGTCCTTGCCCACGAGTTTCGTGATGGTACTGTCGATATTGATCACTTCAGAATCTATAGAATCCACTCCCAGGTCCACGCACTCCTCCTTGAAAGTGATTTTACTCGGTTGTAAATCACTCTCAGTTTTGATAAAACTATTGTAGCGATTGATTACTTGGCTCAATTGATGATTGGCGACAAGTCCTAATCCCGAAACACCTGGTACATCACTGTTCTTCGATTCCGGGCCTTCTTCTTTCACGTAAACCTCGTAAACGCTGCATATAGTCGCCGCATTTATTTCATAAATTAACAGAATAAGCAGAATTACAACAAACGTGTCATACATACCGCACATTTTCTATACTACAACAGGTTAATACGACTTTTTTTATATGTACAGAACGAGTAAACTAACAGTATCTTATAACTTACACATCAATGTTATAATTTCCTATTCAACAATGTAACTTATGTACAGCATGTGTTATATCACATTTATATTGTTGAGTGGAAAATTATATTGATCTAACATTTTTGTCAAGAAAAATTCACCCTAAGAAAAATTGAATATTAATTTTTTATATTAAATATTATAACGAAATTACAATAAATATATCGTTTCTCTACTACAGCTACTAAATTCTAAGACTTTTTATATGTATTAAAATTCATCTTAAAAAAAAACCTGAGGATCGCTAACTCATTATTAAGTTTTATAAAAAGAAAAGGATTTTTTTACATCACATTGTACGATTCAATAATTATATTTTTCTTCGTATTACCGATATTCGAAGAAAGTAGTTCGCATTCGTACTTATGCTGACTATTTACGCGAACGTTGCGAGCTCACCTGATAACTTCGTCCGGAATGGGACGAGGGAATTGCACCTGCGGATCGTCGTACTGAGTTTCCCCTAAGAAGTTGAAAAGCACATTCCGTGGAGAAATTGTTGTTTTATCTTAAAAATAATTACGACGGTATGTTGTGCTGTACAGACACTTCGTGAGAAGCATATTTGATATTTCGAAGTAACTATTTATTTCATAAAGATGCATTTTATTATTTTATACACAATCGAATGCTTTGTTAAAAACATGATTTTCACAATGTACATATATACTTTGGAGACTGATCCATCTTTTAAAAAGTCTAATTTTTAGCGTTTATATATGTATCATTATTATTATTATTATTATTATTATTATCATCATTATAATTCTAGCAACAATAGATGTGTAATCCTAAAATCTGCAATTCGACAAAGCAGAATAAAAATACTATACTTCCACGGTGTTGATATTTTCTTGCTCGAGAGAAAGAAACACGTTTACAATATTATTGTTTGTGGAAGAATTAACCTTCCGCTTTTGTTACTGCTCAAAAATTCTTCATGAAAGAAAGATCTGTTTGTTTGATAACATAACCGTTCTAATCAGCGGATGACGTCTCAAGCGAGATAATCGTGATACAGTCGTATCGGTATAGTATATGTAATATACAGCTCATTTTATACATAGTTACATCGTGTAAACATCTATCTTGAAGTTTCGTCGCGTTCATAAATTATGTATCAACAATATCAACGTTCGCATGTACCATTGACACTCATTTTATGTGTAATGGGCTTTCTATAATAAATTTCCTAAGCTTTAAATCTTAAGCCATAAAAAAATATAAAATAATTACATGATGTAAAATTCCAAAATATCAAAGTTATATCTACTAGATGTACTTAAATATATCTAAAATATTTCTAGATGTATATTTAAATAAATACATCTAAAAATCTATTATTAGGTCAAATTCTAGCGTTGATTGACATTCTTCTAATTCTATATCTAATTTTCCGTGCAATCTGGATCTTTTTTGGTATAGGATTTGGAAATTTTCAAATTTCTCTAAAATAAAGTAGTTCGACCCCTTGCTAAGATATACATTTTTAAACAAATTTCGACTTTTCCTTATTTTTGTTTAAATTTCAATTCTTTAAATAAAAGTTTTATCATTTGAATTAAAAAATTTAGTAATGTAATAGAGATATTAAAAAATAATTTTGATTTTTTAAAACTATAAAACAATAAAAAAATTTGAATTGAATAAAAAGATTCCAATTGTAAATAAAGAATTAAACATTATATTTTAATATTTGAGTTAAAAAAATCTGGTAATTTAATAGACATATTGAAAAATGATCCTGAATTTTTTTAAAGCATAAAACAGTAAAAAAACTTGGGTTGAACAAAAGGACTCAGATTACAAGATTAAACATTAATTGCAAAAATATTAATTAAAACTGCAAGGCGAATAAATATAATCTAATTAATTTGCCAGTATCATACTTGTAAATAAAATAAATTTCTATTATTCATATTAAGTGTATACATATATATTCTTATTATATTTAATTAAATTATATTTAATCAACTTACTAGCTTTATATTCTATTATTTATAAATTACTAATAATATTTTTTTCTTATTCTACTTGAGAAAATTTTACTCCAAAATATTTCCGCCATTCTATAATTATCAGGCACCGCCGCATACAGCAAAATGTAGTAAAAAAAAAGAAGCATACTGTGAACGGCATCCTGCAGAAGGCATCAACGACTCGAGAAGATCCACAAGCTAAGAATCGTCCTTGAATCGTGAACGATGCACAACGAAAGATATGTTTACCGATAAAGCATGTTAACTTTTTCCATTCTCCGAATAAATCGAGACCCGATTTTTACATCAAATTTTTTACGATACGCGACCGATCTTTCCGACGTGTCACGACGCGTCGCGATTCGCGGCTCTGACCTCGGCTTGTTTTGTCTGGCGTCAAATAAACGAAAGCCGCCATTATCAGAGCTCATTTTTCATGTGATGCTGGCGATGCCCGCTCGGCGGATCCGCGACTTTATTGGTGAGGCGAATCGCGAGAACGGTAAGACGGTTATACTTACAGTTGTATCCCTGCATCAAATTGCCGTGTGACATTTTCGCATCGATCGTTCGTGAATCGGTCCCTGGCCGGCTCCTGCCCCCCTCAATGTCATCTGCATTGACCTCCACCGGATAATTCCAGGAATCGAGCAAAAGCACGCTACACGAGCGCCTTCTGACGAACGATCCGAGTTCTAACAAGTCTCGGCAAGAGCGTGTCCTTTATTATCTGTTTCCATCTCAAGCTCCTCACAAGAGGAATTCGTCGAAATGCAGCTCATTGATTCTTTTGCTCTCATCTTTTGCGAACACGAAGAATCGTGCTATTTAATGTTTCAATAAAAAGGTACGTTTTTTTAATATAACAAATATAAAATTAATATGCTAAATTAACCCATCATCTCTTAGCTAAATCTGAGTCTTTTAACTCCAATGTAAAAATCTTTAATAAAAATTGAAATTTGTTAAAAAAACGTTTAAATTAATAATAAAGGAACTGGACTCCGCTTTCCTTTATTTTCGAAAAATTTCGTTTATATCAAAAAAGATTTAGATTGCAAACAGAGGATTAAATATATAAAAAAATTACATATATAATAAAAACAATATTAAGTCGATAAATAATCGACGCACGCTTAGCTTGAACTGGAAATTATAAGAATAAATTCGCAAGAAATATTAGTTGCTTTATTTACAAGTGAAACTGAGTCTGAAGTGAGCTGAGTATTTCATACTCAGATTAATGATGTCATTATTTGTTTTGGTAAAAGTTATCATATGACAGATTCATAACTTTTTAAAGTGAGTTTACGAGACTCATTAAAGCACATGGTTTCGATGTGTAGATTATAAGCAAAAATCAATTAAATCTCATTTATCAGAAAAAGGAATGCGTATTCAACTGAATTATGATGTCACAAGTGAGAATTATGTCTGAGAATCTATGTAAATAAAAACTGCTAACTGTTAGGCATGAAGAACCGCTTTGAAATAGCATTTCATTCATGTATATATAAAAATTCATGTATATATGAAAAGACAAGTTCTTGAAATATTTATATAGATGGAAATTCTAGAATTCTAATTCGATTCGACCGTAAAAAAGCGAAAAATTCGTTGATTTAATAGGAAGCACATTGAATTGTTTAGGTTGGTATTCATATAGTTTATATATTCAGATCTTATATTTAAAACCGTCTTAACCGTTTAGTCTTGAGATGAACCAATCAGAGAGCCGCATTAGCATCTTAAAATATTACTTAAGACAGTCTTGAAATAAGAACCAACTATGGCCGATATTCATAGTCAGTTCTTATATTCAAGATCGTCTTAAGTTCAGTCTTAAGATATCACGAACCAATCAGAGAGCCGCATTAGCATCTTAAGACATTACTTAAGACGATCTTGAAATAAGAATCGATTATGAATACTGATCTTAGTTTTAAGATTTTTAAGTTTCTTTTAAATGCCGAATTTTTATTTCTATTGTTCCCTTTCTCTTTCCGTGAACAAAGACGAGATATTTGAGTGTATATAACTAACATTAATATGCCGAGAAACATCTGTACTCTATTCGATCAGCGACGAACTAACGGAAACCATCTCGGGGACCGAAGAACTACTTCTCCCTGTTTTCGGAATTCCAGTCAGGTATGTCGGCAGCGGTGCTTTCCATCTACCAACATGGACTCCCGCCATACTTGTCCGACTCAATTATGACTTGCTACTTCTTGTTAGCCGCTGTTTAAGTTACTCTGGTCTTCCTTCCTACCTGCCTTGCCTGTCTACGTCCTTATTCGAGTCAGCCAAGTCACCTGTCAGTCTTCTCTCTCGCGGACGCTGAGACACGCAATTTTTTCATACAGAAGTCTTCTTCTGCAAAAAGAAGCATTTAAAGTGTGACAGATTGAATATTTTAGAAAATTCTAATTTCAAATGAAAATATTTGCAGCAAGAAAGCTGTAAGGTTTTAATAAAAAGATATTTAATCGCGTATATTTTTATCTATAACAAAATACTCTTGTGAATCAAATAGATGATTCATTTTTCTATATTTAATATCAACGACATTGCTTTACCTGTTGCTCATAGACACACTTACATAGTTATACTTGCATAAAAATTTTGGCTTCCTTTTTATTCTTTTAAGATTTAAATTCGATTGCAAAAAGATTTACAATTTTATACGATGTATTATTTGGTGAAAACATATTATACTTACAATTGGTTCCACGCAGTGGAAAAGAAGTACTCGCGAACTACGCGCGAGTCGATACCGATGTTTGCCAGCTACTTGCAAACTGTTGAGGAAGTGACGGCAGTTCTCACTGGGTGTTCTTACTGCGAAACTTGGGTGCTGCATAGGCGGAACAAAGCGTGCTTCTCACTCGATAGCGATGATATTACGAACCAGGAGGAGAGAAGCTCTCGGCTGACGTCAGAAATTATATACATGTCTTCCGGAGTAAACAAATTTTAAAACAAAATTCTGTACAAAATGTACTAAATTATTAAATTCAGGTTGAGAACGGTGGATAGTTGAATTTATTAAAGAATATTAGGAAGGAGCATAAAGAGAAAAAATTGGCCGCTATTCAGTTCTTGTATTTAAGACTCTTAATTTTCCATCGGATTTCTCAATGCTTTATTAAAGTCGATTGTTTTTATTTGTAAACTCTAGTAGATGAATCTCTAATAAAAAATAAGTAAAATACAATCTAACTTTGATGATAATAAAAACTTGTTAAAGCTTTCACAAGTATGTAACAAGAAGTTTCCAGATTTTTATACAATCCGGAACAATATAAAAATTTGCACTAAAATTTGAAGTTGCTAATGAAGGGCGAAAATTTCACGTTGCTCTATAGAGGATTAATTACAATCTTGAGGTGTCATATATATATTATATTAGCATCTACAGATTCTAAACTGGAGATCGAATTCCAACGGGATAAGATGGTTTTAAAATAAGAACCGATTATGTATATCGGTCATTGTTTTTAGTATTACAAATGTGGCATGATAAAAGTGAATGTGATTATTGATACTCAATATCTACTCAAATCAAATATGATACATCATATGTCGTTCTTTAATACTTACTTCTTCTTTCGAAAGTAAACTAAAATAATCAGTTGCTGTTTGTATAATTTTTTTTTAATCAAAACGTTTTATATGCAATAATATACCGCTATTCTTGTATTTTCGGTAACATTATATATGTCATAAAAATAATTCAATACTAATAAATAACATAAACCCAGCAGTATTGCATTATATGCTTCTTCTTGGTATTCTTTATTCAATACTGGTTATTTAAGTTTGGTACGAACACGAATTCTCGAAATCGATTACAGTTCGATGTGCGAGTGGCTTAATTCCTCTTTTCAAAAACGACGAAGTGCAACTAAACTTGATTTTAGCAATAACTTTTTAGTTAACAATGTAACAACTTTAGAATACATTTTTATAAGTTCTTGGAAAAATGCGTCAAATGCGATTGTTGCATTGAAAAGCTTTCGATTTCAAATAGGATTTACTTGAAGAATGTAGCTTTTGCTGTTTAAAAAGAATCTTAATTTAAAGTTTTACTTTTGTGCAAGATGTACCTCGTATTTTCAGATAAGGCAACATTATGCGGGATTATATGTTTTTTTTCTTCTGTACGTCAAACCCTCGCGGACTCTCTCTCTCTCTCTCTCTCTCTCTCTCTCTCTCTCTCTCTCTCTCTCTCTCTCTCTCCGAAGCTTTTCGAATCGATCGACATTTTTCGCAAGACGTGAGACTTTCAAATGAAAGCGTGGTCATTAGAATGGGGAAAGAATTGTTTTTCTCGGGGAACGTTTGATTTACCTCATCAGCGAGTTCTTAACTTCGGTATGGGGCTTGAATGGCGGTCGGGTGCTCGAACGAAACGCTTTCATGAACTCGACTCGAGCGAATGGCTGTAGAAAGGTGCGAGAATTCGTGAAAAAGAGGAAGAGACGGCGAAAGAGAGAACTAGAGTTGCGACTCTGAAGGAAAAAGGGAAGAGAGGAGTCGAAGGAGCTCACAGCAGCACAGCGGTGGGATGGCAATTTGATTTTGCAACCTAGATAAAGAAAGCTTTCTTCCTCGTTATTGGTTACTACGAGTTCGAACCTCCTTAAACTCGGAAGAATTTCTCAGTACGCGGGGGAACAGCCATGGGGATAGTTCCATCGCGCACCGGTGTAAACTTTCTGATGCGATATACGCGCGCGCGCGGCGTAAATTACAGAACGTGGCACGAAGATGCGTGACCGCGTGGTATAGATGCTCTCAGTGGTATCGAATGTTCGGCGAACGGCTGCCGTGAGATGGATAGCCTTGTGTCGGAATGAACCATCCTGCAAACTGTGCAACGATGAATCATTGCCAGGAATAAGAAATGGGATGTCAAAGATACAATTCTCCTTCTTTTTGTCTCTCTTTCACAGAAAGAACATTTTACTGAAGTGTCTAAAAATTTAGCTAGATACAGATCTGAAAATAACTTTATTAAACTGGAGAAATAATTATGTAGAACTTTCATTGCTAGGAATAAGGAATGAGGGTATCAAAGCGCAATCTACTCAAGGATTATTTTTAGAAGATCATTTATAGAAATAGGTAAAATCTTTCCACATAATGTTTATCTTGTTTATGTAAAATAGGAAATACAATTTTATATTTTTGATTAGAAGTTGAAGGATCTCAAAGAATTCATCATTCTCAAGAATTCAGATAAGCCATAGGTTACTCATCACATAATTATTTTTGATGGTCCAATATAATTACTTTCAGATCTATAATATTCTAACACATTTCAACCTTTCTTAATTACACATTTAAAAATTTGACTATTCTAGTGACTTCTTAAAATAATCTTCCCAAATTTCTTTTGCGAGTGTTGTCGAAATAAAACTGTTAATAAACTCGAACGCGATAGTATGTTCCACAAAAAGAATAATTTTGCTGAAGTATTTAAAAATTTATGTACAGATCCGAAAATAATTTTGGACTATCAAAATTATGTATTCAAACTGATTAAAATT